TAGTTAGCCCATCGCCCATCCCACCACCACCACCGCCGCCTTGACCTCCATTGCTACCCTCAGTCCCAGAGGCAGCCCTGGCCCCCTGGAGATCAGTCACCCTAAAGGGCTGCCAGAACGTGTTGCAACTGGGCCATGACGTCCCCCTCACCCAGAGCCCCCCTCACCCAGGGCCCCCCTCACCTGGCAGCGTGGGGGCACCACAGCCGGGGACAGCAGTTCTGGAGAGCCAGTTTGAGCATGGAAGACACTTGGCTGCCCTCGGGGGGCTTGGTGATGAAGATGGGGGTGGCGAAGAGGAAGACGAAGAAGGCCAGGCCCACGCAGCCCACGGGGAGGCTGTAGCCCACCAGGAAGTTGATGTTCTGCTGGACAAAGGCCACCACCAGCAGCGACAGCACCGCACCCGCGTTGATGCTCCAGTAAAACCAGTTGAAGAAGCGGCGGTTGGCATGGCGGCCAAGACCCATCACCTGCCAGGCAGGGGTGGGAGAGTGAGGGCCCGCGAGGGCCAGGGGCACCCTGCCATGGCGTGCTCTCTGGACCCGCACCCCCTCTCCCTCAGAGGCACGTCCCGAGTCTGTGGGTGGGCATTCCGGCACTTTCCCTAATCCCAGGGCAGTAAGCAGATGCTCAATAAACATTTGGTGACTGCGTGAATTAACCCTTTTGTTGGGAGTCACCGGTTAGCGATCACTTGGGCACGGCTGCTTCTTCATGCCCATGACGCACGTCGCTTTTTTATTGTCGCCGAGCAGTGCACAGAGCAGATGTCTGAGGCCACTTGTTCCTGTCTGGGTGATGTATCCCTTTGTCTCTGACTGGGCACCCTACACTACCCACCAACTTCATAATCAGAAAAAAAGCCCACGATTGTAATAATGTCCCACGTGATTAGACGTGATGCATGCGTGTTACTGCGGGAGCGGGGAGGGGTCTCACAGAGAGTCCCCCACCGCTGGGAGTTGCAGACTTTTCCACGGTGGCCCAGCCCTCCATCCGGCCTCGCCTCCCTCTGACCTGTGCCTCAGGGAGAGCAGACACAGCCCCCAGGTGGGAGGGGAACGGAGTGCAGGCCCCAGCCAGGGCAGAGGCTGCAAATCTTCACCCAGGATTCGAATCGATCGCAACAGCCAGGCCCCAGGCCCTTCCGGTCCTGCGGGCCCGGGGA